TCCATCATCTCACGCATGGCAAAGATCAAGAAGCCCGTAGGTGAGTGCACAGTTAGTCTTCAAGCAGTCGGCTGGCCCAGTAACGTGCTGTTCTTTTCACATGCAAGCCGTTTGATTAGTACGAAACAACTGGACTTCACTAACCACACTATTGGTGTGTATGCTTTTAAGCCTTTGAAATAAAGTAACCGTTCTCAGACACCTGGTCAATTGACTTCTTTAATTCCACCTTTCCCTGATTCTTTCCCTCTTCCGTGTGTGCTTGTGGTTGGCTTACACAGTAACTCCTAAGCTATTTTTTTCAGGGTGCCCCATCATTTATTGCGCCAAGATATTTGTGTGTACTTCCAGCTCCTTCCTATTTGCGGCTTTTTATCCTCGACAATTTTGCTGCTCAATCTGGCCGTGGACAGACTGATGTCGCTACAAAAAATTTAGTACGTTTTCGCAAGATACCTGAAATTCTTTGTCTGCTCGACCAACACTACGGTTCGATCATAGTGCAGAGCACACGAAAGGCAACATTCCGAGGAACCACGGAATAATCCTTTTGCATAAAACCAAAGAATATTAGAGGTAACTCCACCATTTGAAGTGTCACATGTGACTGACGATGGCCTCACAATGAATGCCTTTACTGGAATGAAATTTTGCTGCATTCTGCTATTAATGAACTACCTCACAGCACCCGATGATTTCAGCCTCCTCTTCATTAAGAAGTACAGAGTGGTGTATACGATTGTGCAGGTCACATCAGTGCTCGCATATGCTCTCTTTTTTGGCTGTTGGATAATTGCCAATCGCACTACAGAAACGTAAGTGGATGTATACTTGCTATGTTTGGTTCAGTGCTGAGTATCTTCCACTGCAATACGGTAATGATAGAATCAAAAATCAACACAACGTGAAGTACGGTAGCGAGTAGAACAGAAATCTCTCCAACATGGTCTTCTATTACCACTATGCTAAACATATGAAGTCGGTTGAAGGTCTCGCTCAGCATACGGTACTTTTCAGGATGGTTTTCTGTGTAATAACTGCTCCCCTGGGCAGCATATATCCGGTGTGTATGAGATCTATGGTGATAATTGATCTATTAATTGTTTTCGCATATGCACTATTCCTCTGCATGCTGAAGAAGGTTCGAATGAGTGAGTGCGCCATTCCTTATTCTCATAGTTATTTTGTTGAGGGAGCAGGTGTCGTTGTTCAGTCAAAATGATTGTCTGCAACGAGATAAACCCTTAATAATGAGGTCTGCTGTGAGAATCAAAGAAAGAAATTGACGGAGAGGATTTGCTCGATAAACTAGAGGAAAGCAGGGCACATGATTAGTTGGAGATTTTGGCCAAGTCCAGTCTTTTTGCGGGTCGATACTGACGCCTGGTTCCGCCTCCTGCATGAAGCTGTCGAGGAGGGGGTGTGATATAATAGCACATGTGAAAAGGGAAAATCCCGGAGATAGGTCAAAGTCAACAACGACTTCTCAGGTTCAGAAGGGATTATGCTGATGTCTTGCTCTTCCTAACCAGCGAAGCAGAGTATGAAGTCTTTTTACCCTCTGCAACGTCCGTGAAACAATACAACAGAGAATCTTCTCGGAATACATGCCCCTGTTTGCACTGCTAGAATGGGTCTTCTTCTTCAGAGAGACGCACGGTACTAACAATACCACGAGGCCACAGTGGCACTGCCGAAGCATCGATCAGCAGCGCTTACGAGCCAGAACTCAAAGTTTGACCGCCCGGATCTCGTCTGGGAGGTCCCTCATAGCACTTTTAATCTGCATATTTGTAATCAGCATTCGAGGCTCTATCGATGTACCTAGGTCTCCATTCAAAGTTCCATGGGAAGTTCAAACAATCCTTCGTAGAGTTGAAAGAAATACACAAGCAGGACCCGTCTCTCATTCTCCACTAAGGAGTCTGGCTCCCACGCTTACTCACCGATCTTGATGAAGGTTTCCTGGATGAATGGACGACTGACCAGCGGGTACGCGTGAGTGACGCATCTGGTGCCATCGTCAATCGGCAGTAGTGTCTCCCATCGAAGCCACTACCCTTTCGTAGTGCTAGGGTCACAGGCAGTCACGAACTGTCAGTCAAGGTATCATTCACGCAGTACTTGTCAGCAATCATTGCGGGCCGGTAGCTCTCTAGGCACGAGATAGTGTAGAGGAAAGCGAGGGGGGTCATATTGAGATCCTGCCTCGCCGTTGAGGGCGGGATTGTAACTCAGTGAGGACAACTTTCAAGCTTGTTATTGGTTGATAACATGCTGTTTTATACGGCCGCTAAGCTGCCCGCTAAGCAGAAGATGCGGCTGGTTCTGAATCCCGTCCGTGATCCGACTTTTGCCTATAACTCAGCATTCTTGTGTACCGAGACAATCCCTCGAGGGGGGGGGGGTCGTAATGACACCACCATTTCACACATCACATGCTGTACTTGCTCCCAGGGCCTCGGTGATTCCATTCATTAATCTTTGTTGTGAACAGATTTGCCATACGAAATTACTCGGTCTATTTTGCATAGGTTACGACAAAATGAAGACTATTTATCGATCACTGATCGTCATCAGTCTTGCCGTAGTTCTCGGTTCACTCAGCACATGCTTCGGCGGCGTAATGGCTGATGCTCTCCAGCTTGAGATAGAAAGAGCAAATGTGGATCTTGTAACAGGACTGTTTATAAACTCAGCTTGCTCCATCAATATCTTCATATTTTATGCTGTGAGGTGAGGTACTCTTTAGCGTGTTTTGGTTCTTTTTACGAGACTGTTAGGTGGAAGAAACACTCGCAAAGAGGTCCAATAATGACCCCATTAGCACAAAAGGAAGCATAAACATAACATTAAAGGCAGTTGGCACGATAAATCACTATGACGAGTAGGATCAATACGCCTGGCAGGACGGAAGTCCTGAGCAGGCGCTGCGTAGCGCCTTTTCCGAGGAAGGTACCCCTGTAAGGCCCTATCAAGCTGCAACATACCGACCCGAACGCCCACCGCGCCCGCCCGCCCACAAATGGACGACCGTACCTGATGCTCGTATTGCTTCATTTGCTAAGTAAAATATGAAGCGAAGGGATTGATATGAAGCGGCCGCGGTGCTGCATGGATATATGAGTACATACGTGCAGCCGTACCTACCGTAGCGGTTATTGGCAAGATGCCTACGGGAAACTCGTCCAAAATTGCTTTTGAGTCATAAGAACGAAGGCTTTCTTTGCAGGTTTTTGACCGTTTCACTTCGTTTTTTCGCCATTTTCCCATCATAAACACCCGCTGGCAGTTTAGATCGACTACCAAATTATCGTGCCATAGGCCTTTAATGCCGAAGTTTTGCGAAGAAAGAGCCTGGACACAGCAAATAGCATAATGTCAGACTTATCAAATTTAACTTCAGCAAAGACTACCGTGCTGTATTCCGAGAGTATTTATTTTGTTCACATATGAAAAACGCCAGTTACACTCCTGATTCACGAGTATTCACAAAGGCAGCTCAGGCCCTTACCACACGGTTCTCCAGGACTCATTGTCAGGCACAAGGCTGCTCTACTATTTCACAGGCCTTGTAATCTTTATCGAGACAGTCATCAATACTATGGGCATTTACTGTTTGCTTTAAGCAATAAATGTTTTTATAGGCATTTACGTTGGAATTCAGTGTATACCACGTTTTTTCACATTTTATATTTTTGTGTTATTTTCATTCTCCCACACACACAACATTACTTTAGACCAGACGAAAAGCACTAATTGAATTGTTGCGGGAAAACGATCTGGGAGCTTTCAGAAAGTATTGGTTCTCGATAATTGTAGAATGTTATAGAAGATTTTTGCGCACTAATGTTGATTTCTACATGTTTCTGGAGTTTGGAACTATTTCAAAGACTTGCTGCTTCTCGATCCATTCCTTACTTTGACTGCTTCACAAGCCTTTCTGTTTAAGTCGAGGAAAGAAGCACCTATGCTGTGTTCAGCAAGAGCGCCCATAATCATGCCACGGTGGTACCAACTTTGGAACCCGAAAATGATTCACTTGAAATTGGGCATCGTGTCGGTCGGCCACCAGGGGACGTTCATTCGACTCCAAACGCAGTCGCACAGATCCACCTCTGAGATGACTACAACTTTAAGCTGAACCCGTTGAAGAGTACTCCTATAGTACAAACTAGCTAGGTTGCGCAAAACAGAGGTGGGGCCTTTCGGCGACGAGTTGTCTTGAAGGCACTTTCCGCAATAAACTAAGCTATAACCTCTAAATGTGTCAGATGATCCGGTAGGCGATTGTAGAGGTTGCACTGCATTCAAAACTTGCAAAATGGCACGCAAAGCACAGAAAACTTCGATTTTAAGCCCAAGGAAGCCCATGCCGTACCTTGCCCGTGTAGGTCCGTACTAATGCCGTGTGCTCTTCCCCCTGTCATTTTCTGGTCCTCTCTCCCGCGCTTTTGCAGTGGTATGTCACTTTCCATTGCGACAGCGGGTTTTTCCATACTTTGTCATCTTCATTTACTAAGTCACGTTTTACAACTGCACTGTTCTTGAAGCCCCTGCTACTATGTGTTGCAGTCCGCGGACAGTGGCGATTAAGTGGATAGGACTGAAGAGTGGGCGGAGTACAGGCAGTTTAGGGTCTTGGGTGGAGCTTTGTGCTTTTTTCGCATGGCGCTTTCTAGAGAAACCTCAGTATTATGAAAGAATAATTAGTCTGCAAGACGGAAAATTTTTGCATTTCATCAGAGCTAGACGAAAAGATAGAAGAGGCCCATTTTTTTGAACAGAACAAAAATAATGAAGACTATGATGTGTCTGAATGCACTTCGTTTGTGATTCTTGCATCATGTAATTTCTTTGGACAAATCTTCGCTTGTTAATCTGTAAGTCACTCTGGAAGTTCTGCGCTAACAAGATGAATACTGGTAAAGCGTCTAGTTAATGACGTCGCATTCAGTCGGGGCGATCTCAGAGGGAGGAACGAGTCTAGCTCGGGCGCCTCAGGCTGCATTCATACTTTGCGGCAGCGTCCACCAGCGACTACCAGCGTCCACCAATGACCATCAGGCTTAGAGGCGGTCCGTTCAGCGGTCCAGCCACTACGGAGTATGGCATATCGCATCTTGGCGATGCATGAGCATACCAACCTGGTCTACCAGGGCCCAGGTCGCCGAGGAGTTAAGGCAGCATTCAGGCTTCGCGACGGCATAGCGCTTGCGTTCGCGCGATCGTCGCGATTGATTGCAGACTGAAAGCCATTGCGGGATCGATTGTGGCCGAACGCGCAGACCTAGGCGGTGTTGATTCCCATGTAAATCCGAAACGTCTTGCATTAGGGTACCAGGCATTCCGCAGACAGGAGTGGCCGATTTGTGGTGGACAGCGTTTGCGGTGGCCCGTGCCCGGACGATTCCAAGACGCCTTACCAAGCGTTCTCCCTCTCTATTTCACCGTGGCCTATTCCTAGTCGCAGGTGTAAGCGCTGGTAGATCGCTTTCGCTGGGGGGGGAAAAAAAAAAAAAAAAAAAAAAAAAAACTGATATGTCTATACTTCCCTACTCGCTGACGCTGCCTACCTTACCACATTTTGGCTTGCCCTCTTACCTAATTCCTTCCCACACTCTTTGCTCCGTTCGCTGGTAATACGCTTAGTCAAGACGCTGATAGTTTGCTGTCGTTCGCCTAGATGATGTTTTTATACTATTCTACGTCGCGCTGAGCTGGTCCGGACTCCGAAAAGTTGGTGGTCGCTGGTGGACCCGCTGCCGCAATGGTATTAACGCCAGGCCTAATCCAACAGTGGGTCCGAACATCGGATGCATAAACTGGGTGGATGCTCCGCAAATGGGCTCTCATCCTATTGCTCTTTTCGAACCAACCCCCGAATGATTTGTGCGACAATACCAACGCCTTCTTGAAGTGGAGAAAGGGACGCCGTTACATACGAGTAAACAACGATCTAGGCTGTGCTTTCAGGGTAATGGATTCAAATTGCACTTATGTTTTATTGCGGATTTTAACAAACGCAATTATGAGCGGAACAATTCAATTACCTTTTTCAGGTGCTGGCTTAATTTTTAGAAGTGTTGTTAACAGTATGACATGTCTGTTGCACCTTCAAGTGCTGACTGAACAGTTACAAGTGAATTCGCAAAGTCAACAAGTTGAAATACAAAGAAATCCCAATTTGAATTCACTACTTTATCCGCTCAACCGTGGCAATGAAAATGGGGGCTGTATCAATACTGCCCTGCGCCGTGACTCAAAGTGTAGCGTCTTCATCGGATACCACATCTCGCCAGCGCCAACCACGCCACTGCAAGGGAAAGAACCAGAAGCGGAGGGGGCGCAGACCAGACAAGCAAGCGTTCGTTATCCTTAAGATTGGTCCTTACCCGCGTTGCGCGGCAGCTGCAGACGGAGTCGGAAGACTTTGCAAACTCAGGCAGCTGGGTATAATACCAGAAAGCAACGTCCTTGCGTGAGGGCATCTCTGATTGCCGACCATTCCTTCCTTCATCGCACCGATAACGCACTTCCTAGAATTTCCCAGGATTTTCTGTAGTCCCTAACACATTTTCCTGTTTTTCCAGAATTTTCCCGCAAATCTTCTAGCTAGGTTTCCCCCAAAATATTGGCTGGCCGGGGCGGAGGGGTTTATACAACACTTTTTTGGACGGAAACACCGCGAAAGAGTCAAGGCCCGGGGAAATTTCTTCCACGAGTGGCCGTTAAACTTCTCTAACAAAGGCCCAAATCACGGTTTTTCCCGCTCTCACTCCCGCGATACGACCTCCCTCCCTCGCTGGGGACTCCCCAGCGTACGTTGTGGTTTGATCAGCACCCCTGTCTAGTGCAGTTTCGGGCGGAGTGGATGGCATCCCACAGCAGCTGCGGCGGTAGGCGAAAGTCCCATTTCTATTTGAAGACCTCAGCATTGTTCCAGTTCACATTTATTACAGAAACAATGATTCATAACAACGGCTGAACATAAAAAAGCTGGCAAGTTGTGGTGACAAAACACATAAAAGCATTAGCTACTTAGTAGATTTAAGTTAAAAGCCTTGGCAACGCTCCAGCAAAAATACCTTGTTCATCGAATTACCGCAAATGTTACAAACATACTCAGTACAATACTGTATACTGCACAAACTGCCACTTGCTGCACTCTATATCCTGGAGATGGAGAGGACGTGGCTGCAATTTCAACATGGCGTGAGTTTCGTTTTTCGTGGGATCTTTCCATATTGAACAACTTTCATTCTGTTTTGTGCTGCACAGCAGCATGACTACAGTTGGTCAAAACGACAATATCCCAGTGAAAGCGTAGCCGCTGCTCCTTGTGATGAAGTACGCAGCCACGCCCACTCCACCTCTGAGATATGGAGCACATCTCATTTGCGTCGACTTCATCCTAGTTTTATCGGCTCTTCCCTTGAAGTCGCTTTTTTTGCATATTTCTGCCTCAATGATGATCAGTATAGTCATATTTCGACCATTACCTCGCTTCCACTCATACAGGAATGTTGGAAGAAATCTATTGTTTGATAGAGATTGAAGGAAAATTTGTATATCATCCGTTGTGGTTTCTTGAGAGGGCAGGCCTTTGAGAATCCGAAACCCTTTCATGGATCGAAATCATCTTCTTGAATCGTCCAATGTACAGATATTTGTCAAATATACGACGATATTCACTGCTGAAAAAATAGAATTTGAGAGTGACAGATGCTGATTACAAAACAAGTATTGTTCATGGTTTCTCGCCCCGTTCTCCGCGCAATCCAGCCCAGATTTGGACCGTATACATATTGCCCCCGACGGTAAAGTTGTCTAGAATTCCGTACAGCATTCAAGCAGATGCAATATTTCTCCGCGTCAGAGTATCTCCAGAGGCAGAGTTCATCTGCCCCCAAGGAGAAATTTTGGTCAAAGTGTTGCCGGAGTTTCGTAATGTACGACAGTGAAGACTTGAAAAGGTCAAAAAAGAATATTGATGGAAGCTTCCACGGTAACTGCACTTTCTCATGTCGCAGTTACAAAGCAATGATGAAAGAAAGGGCATAAAAACTAGTACGACCCTCTTATGAGATTCTTTCGGTATGCTCAGGATGGTCCCTCGGTGGCTCCCCGTCTCCAATTGTGGACACTCCTTTGTTTCCAACCACTGTCTTGTTCTCCGCGTCGGAGTCTGAGTGAGATTTTGCTGCGTGAAAAACTGAACCATTTTTAATGCTTCTCGCAATAGTTCCGAAGGCGTGTAGGTTGAAAAACACATTCCGCGCTGATCATACTGGCGGAGCCGTGTCACCCCCCGTAGCAGCCTCACTGGCGCGCCCCTGTTCCTTATCATATTGAAGAGGGTAAATTATTTAGAAAGACACAGCGGACATGTAGCCTCTCCCCTTTCTCCGCCCATGCAATCATCGTGGGATTCGTCTTTGATCTTGATGTCTGATGTAGTGAGATCTACAGCAACTTTACCACACTGGATTAGCGGTGAAGTGAAGGGCAGCGTCGCTTTCACGACCGACAGAAAGTGAACTTTGTCAAAAAATAGCACCATTTCCTTTGGGAGGAG